ACCTGTATTTTAAAAATATTCCTATTAAAATCCTGCCAGGATACACTGTAGATATAGACCTGTTCAAAACTTTAGATAGAAAGATAAAGGAACCAGAATAACCAAAGAAATGCAAAAACCGAACATGATTAGAGGAACAGCACTCCCTGACTTTAGGATAAACTTGCCACTGGGGACGTCAGGACAGGGGGTGTTGGCGGAGGACAGACTCGCAGAGCCACCCAGCAGAGCAGCAAGCCCAGTTTCTCCCACAGAGCCCAGCCACCGGGGCAAGGGTACAGGGTGGTCTCTTGTCAACAAATAATTGGGACAATTGGACATTTGTAGGGGGAGAAAGACTATCTTGACCCAAACCTCATGTTTATTATAACTCGGATCACGAGCGGATGGCAGAAGAGATTTAGAAGGCAAATCTCCATGACAAGAGGGAGGTGGGAGCTCTCTCCCGTGGCTCCAAAGACGTGGTCGAAAAGAAAACCACTGACAGGCTGGGCTTCCTCAGAACTGGAAAGTCTTGCCCAGAGCGAGACTCCAGCAAGGGGTGGGCCAGCAAGCCCAGACCTGGGGCACGTTCCACTTACGGGACACACGACTTCTCCCAAAATATGCCAGGAACCCTCCAGACTCCACAGTGAGGAAGATGTCCCAGCGGGAACGTGGGCAAAGAGCCTGAAGAGTCAGTTCACAGAGGAGGACGACGAAGGTGAGACGGCCATGAAACAACGGTCAGCACCGGTCAGCACCGGGGGTCAGCACCGGGGTCAGCACATGGCACAGCAACTAGGGTCAGTACAGAGGCAAGCACCAGGGGTCAGCACAGGGATCAGCACAGGGGTCAGTACAGGGGCCAGCACCAGGGGTCAGCATAGGAGTCAATATAGGGGCCAGCACCAGGGGTCAGCATAAGGGTCAGCACAGGGACCACCAGGGAACCCTGAAACTCATTTTTAACGTGGTCTGGGGATCAGGCCCAGGGTGCTCTACCACTGAGCCACACCCCCAGCCCTTTTCATTTTTTGTTGAGAGACAGTGTCTTGCTAAGCTGCCCAGGCTGGCCGTGAACTTGTGACCCTCCTGCCTCAGCCTCCTGAGTGGCTGGGATGACAGTATGGCCACCTCACCCAGCTGGCAATGCAAAATTAAAGGCCAATGAGACGTCGCTGCACCTCTATCAGAACATCTAAGGTCTTTTAAGATTCCGAAGATTCCAGGTGCTGGTGAGGTGGGCAGCCACCGGCTCTTCCCCGGGCTGGTGGGAATACAGGAGGTCCAGCCTCTGGGGAAACCGGACCCCCTGGGCCCACCAAGCTCAGCGGGCACTCTCCACAGGACCCAGTGGCCACGCTGTGGGGTCTGTCCCAGAGAAGTCGAAACCTGTACCGACACGAAACTCGGCGCCTGGAGGTGTTGATGCCCCCTGATGCCCTCTGAGGCCAGTCGGCCGGAGTGCAGCCCGTGCACTGAGGAAGGGACTGCCGGCCACGCGGCTCACCCTGGCGTGGATGCCACAGCGTGTAGGGGCACCTCCCTCTCCCCTCTGTCCCTGCTCTGATGACCTGTGAGGAAGGCCACTGCTCCTCCCGACCACCCACAGGATCTGGTACCTGCTTTCCTGCTCCTTCAAGCCATTTTCAGGACCCGCGGCTTTCCCAGGAAGCCAGATGTGAGCCGTGAACCTGCCGCACACCCTGCGTGCTCAGTCCACATCCACCACGTCTGGAGACGGTGTGAGCGACTCCCAGAGCCTGGCTGCAGGCTGCGTCCCCAGCATGGTGGTGGCCAGGTGCAGGGCCTGGAGGAGGAAGGGTGAGAGGCAGGCCGAGGTCTGGGGCTCCACCAGCCAAGGGGTCAATGCTGGTCTTGTAGGGTGGTCAGCTCCTGTGAGAACAGGCTGTTAGGGAGCTGGCTCCTCCCAGCCCATGCACCGCTCGCTCTTCTCATACACATACCGTCATTGGGATGCCATCTGCATGTGGTCCTCCCCAGGGCTGAGCAGATGCCAGCCCTGAGTTCTTGGACCTCCAGAACCGTGAGCAAAACAAGCCCCTTATCCTTATACAGTAATCCAGCCTCAAGTATTTTGTCATAGCAACAGAGCACAGACTGATCCAACACCCAGACTCCGTTCTGAGTGGCAGTCCTTCCTGTTTCTGTGGGGCAGGGGACAAACAGAAACTGCCAGAGGTCCACACCAYGGAACACCATGCAGCTGTGGAAGGTGGTCTGTGGACAAGCACTGTCACGTGGCCCAACCTCAGGTTTATCAAGTGCCAAGCTCAGCAGGTTGCACCCCGTGCAGGCTCACAGCAGTCCTAGCCCAGGGCCAGGACCGTCAGAGGGGACTGAGGGGCAGATGAGGACTCTTCAGGGCGATGGAAGGGCTAAGCGTCTCGATTGCAGTGGTCTCTTGAGTCCTCATAGGCAAAGGGATCTCACACAACTGCCCACTGAAAGATCCACCCCCAAACTGGGGGTCCAGGCTGGGTGTGCCCAGTGGTCAGCGCCTGCCTGGCCTGTGTGAGGCCCTGGGTCCCAGCCTCAGCACCACAGAGACGTGATGGAGTCCCAGGGGGGCCTGGGATTGAAGGGACAGTAGAGGGCCAGGTCCCAGGTCCTGGGTGTGGACAGCAAACGGGATTTAGGAAGATTCACCTTGAGGGGCACAGGGGAGGCTGGAGGGCACTAAGGCCCTAAACCTGGCTCTATCTGTGCCAGGAGCAGCCTCCTGAAGGCCAGGGGCCCGTCCTAGCTCCCGGCCTGACCCCCCCACCCCACCGCAGGGAGGGAGGAAGGCTGGGTTCAGGAGGCGCTGGCCCTAGGCAAGGGCTCCTCTGAGCCCAGGGCAGGGTCCCGGCTCCTCAACCCTGGTGTGGGAGGCGTCCCGCCCGCCTGCCCTTCACACCTTAGCCCCTCAGCACCTGGGTTCAACCCCCACGAGCCCAGCTCCCAAACCAGCCTCAGGGGTGGGTCAGGTCCCCGAAGCCAGCCTGCCTGGCTCTCCACCTGGCCACCGCGAGCACGCACCCAGCCCTGCCAGCCGCCAGCAGATGGCCCTGCTGCAGATGGTGAGCTGACCTCCACGCTGTCCTGAGGTTTCCACCCTGGAGCAGGGCCACGTGGCCCAGGTGCCAGCAGGGACAGTGCCGTGCATGGAGAGCCAGTTCCCAGGCCTCCCACCACGGGTCAACCCAGCAGACAGGCCTCCGGGAGTGCGGAGCCCAGCCCCAAGGATCCGAGCTGTGCCGAGGCTTCAGAGCTGGGGTGCAGTCAGGGCTGGGGTGCAGTCAGAGCTGGGGTGCAGTCAGACCGGGGCCGTCCCCAGGGAGCAGCCCCAGGCGGAGAGCAGTCGCTGCCCCTGGGAGAAGGAAGCACGGGGTGGGAGGGCCTGTGGGGGGCAGCACTCGGTTCCTCTTCCACCTGCGGGGTGCAGTCTCCTGGGGTCAGTTCTGGCTCTGCGGTGAGGTGGTAAGGGGGGCCTTGAGGGGCAGGGCCTAGTGGGGCACTGCGAGGTCTGTCCAATGTGTCCTCTCTGATGGGTGTGAACCGTGAACTGTCTCTAAAGCCCTTTCCGCACACCTGCCCTCTGTCCGGCTTCTCCCCGGGGTGGACTCTGCTGGGACTGGAGGCCCGGGCACTGGCCCAGCCCTTACCACGTAGACCACAGGAGTGTGGTCTCTCTCCAGGTGGACTCTCTGATGGCCTGGCTGAAGCCCTTGCCACACTCTTCACATCTGCAGGGTTTCTCCCCAGTGTGGACTCGCTGATGGGTGTGGAGATGTGCAGCCTGAGTGAACCCCTGCCACACTCCTCCGTTGGTAAGGCTTCTCTCCAGTGTGAGTCCTGTAGTGAGTGATGAGCCTGTGCTGCTAGGGAATCTCTTGCCACAGCTGTCACGTCCGTAGGACTTCTCTCCTGGGTTACACTGGTGAGGATAAAAAGGGCTGAAGCCATTGCCAGATCCCTGACCTTGCCCAGTGTCCCTGCTGGGCGGAGTCTGACGGGTTTGCAGCTGTGTGTTCTGGCTGAAGCGCTTCTGCCCTGGGGGAACCCTCTGATGAAGGTGAGGCACTGAGCTGTAATGGAAGCTCATTCCCACTCACTACGTGGATGTGGTCTCTCTTGAAAGGGTGACTGCAGGTTGGAGCCATCAGTAGTGCTCCGGCCACATTTGTCACATTTGCAGGGCTTCTGCTCTGTCTCATTTTTAACATGTTCACCGGATGGTGATCTCCTCGTCAAGTCTGCACACAAATGCACACTGCTTTTCACACCAATTAGCTTATTTCCACTGAGATCCTCTGACTTGCTCAGAATGCATTCTGGCAAGAGTCCTGGGTTCTTCAGGTTGAAAACTCTTCATTTTCAGCATACCTGGAACCATTTCCTTTATGGTTCTTTGTAATGCTCTCACTTTCAAAAACCTGAATGGATCTCCTTGTGGTGACTGGAGATCCTTCCTCTGAAGACATCTGGTTATTCACTTCAACCTGTTTCCAGATTGGCAGCAGGATACTCTGCATTGAAAGGCATTTTAATGCAAATTTTTGAAGCATTTCCATCTCATTTTGACTGGTACTGTCAAAATAGCTACTTCTCTGGGTTTCTGTCTCCATCATCCAAAGCTCTTCTTCTGCTTCCAACTGAGACACCATATCCACTTTGAAGGGAAGGTACCCCACAGCAACCAGGTTCTAGAAATTCTCCTCCATTACATCTCGGTCCAGCTTCCTCTGAGTAAGGTCCGGCAGCCCCAGCTCCTGTGCAGTGAGGACCCCAGCCACATGGTTGAATGTCACTGCTCCTGAAGCTTGGTCGTTTGTTCCTGCTCCTTCCGGGGAAGGCCAGATTCCTGAACAGGCMTGTCTCTTACAGCAGCTCCAAGTACTAAATGGACAGATGGAAAGTCCTGAGAACCAGGAGTCCCTTTCTCTTATAGACAGGTCCACATGGTCCACAGGAGAACGCCTGGACCTCAGGAGAGATGGGATCAATAAACTCACTTCTGAGTCCTACGCACACTCAGGTACTCAACCAGAATCTGCTCATTTTCCTCCCGATTATTTACAAAGAGAAGGAAGCCTGGCTGAGGCGAGAGACGATGGGGCAAGGACGCCTTCAGTTCAGCGGCAGCACAGTCCCTCTGGCTGCCTGGTTCAGGGGGGAGAAAGGCTGCGGTGAGACTAGCCGTTTCTCTTCATGGCTTCCAGGTGAAATGTGCTGCAAAGCAGAGCCCTGTGGACAGCAAAGGCGACCAGCCGCGTGGACCTGAGCCTCGACCTGAGCCTCATCTAACCTGCTCCTCCGCAGGACCCGCCGGCTTACGGCCCTCCCAGAGCAGGAAACAAGCAGGAGCACAGCTCCAGAGGCAGGCAGGGCCCAGGGGATCCACGCTTCTGCCCTCCATCTCTCTGCCTCCCCACCTCCCCCACGGCCTCGACTTCTCCATGTTAAATCGCCGGACAGGTGGCCACGAGACTCACGTTGAGGCTGAAAAGGCTCTGCGGGTTGTTGTGGCCACAGGCAGGGTGGACTCACCTCCCGGACCAAAAGACGATGACTGCCTTGCTTTCCCAGGTGGCAGCGGCAGCTGTTTTCTTTATAAAGTGTCTAGCCTCAGATATTTCATCACAGTAACAGAAAACGGATGAATGCAAACAGCAACAAGAGTACACTTCCCAATGTTTGGACAGTCACATCCTGAGAGGAAAACGAGAATTTGCCTCTGAGATGATGGATTCGCAGGTGTGGGTGTTCTGTTTGAGCTTATGGGGATTTCTTGATTTTTTTTCTATACTAAATATGTTATTCTTGCACTTCAGAAATGGCAAATAAGAGGATAAACACGAGGTCACCAAGAGTCGTGGTTATGCCCCAGGGATAGAACTGAAGTGTGCAGCAGCCCTGGAGCCAGAGGTACCCTGCACAGTGAGAGGCGAGGGTGGGGAGGTACGTGGGGACTGATGCAATGACAGTAAGCAGTTTCTTTTGCAGGGAACTCTGAACCTCGAAGAAAGAGCTGGGGGAAGGGTGTGGATAGGAACCTGCATGGCCGGCAGGTAGAAGCTGCTAAGTCCACAGAACAAGCTGTCTTGAGTCTAAAAGTGCACCTGGCTCACCTGCACCAGAATCTGAATTTCTTATGATTTTGGACAAAAGGAAACATTGGTCACTCCACTGGGTCTCTGCAGTGAAGGAAGGGAGAATTGGACATGGCAAGACATTCCCAAATCACCTCCTTCTGAGGGTCCCCCAGCCAGAGGAGCCGGGCACTGAAGCTGCACAGAAGGCAGTGGGTGAGTGGGTGTGTCACAGGTGGAGCAGTTTGTGTTGTTGTAAACACACAACTTCCCTAGGGAAAGTGTGGAAATAGACATGAGGAAGAGACTGTGCCTGCCATCAGCACCCCGGACAGGTACTTAAAGCCCCAGCTCAGGTAGCCCCACACCTCACTCCTCCCTCTCCACTTGCTCCTCTCACCTCCTCCACCCTCCACCTCCAGAACCATGACCTGCTGTGGCTGCTCCGGGGGCTGTGGATCCAGCTGTGGGGGCTGTGGCTCCAGCTGCTGCAAGCCCTTGTGCTGCTGCAAGCCCGTGTGCTGCTGTGTGCCAGTCTGTTCCTGCTCCAGCTGTGGCTCCTGTGGGGGCTGCAAGGGGGGCTGTAGCTCCTGTGGGGGCTGCAAGTCCAGCTGCTGCCAGGACAGCTGCTGCAAGTCCAGCTGCTGCAAGCCCTGCTGCTGCCAAGACAGCTGCTGC